ATATATAATGGGGCGGGCCGGGTACCCTTTTTTTTTTTAATTTTGGAACCGGTCCGGTTCTTTAAAAAACATTACTCGACCCTACCCGGACCGTTTTATGGCAACCAAAAATGGAACCGGCCCGTTTTGGACCCGAACCGCCATTACCCGGACCGGACCGCGGTTCCAAGACCTGTTTGCCCACCCCTAGGTATAACAATATGTGAGCTAACATATTAGAGTAATATTATTATAATTATTATGAGATCATAGTGCACAATATGTTCCTATAATGGCATGATATATATAAGGGATAAGGGTCAGATAGGGCCTCGAACTTGAAAAAAATGTCAAATAAGGCCATATTTAGGATGCTTTGTCCGGCCGACGCCATTTGGGGTGGTTCCCGGTGGAATTTTTTGATGAAATTTTTTGAGAATCTTATTCATTAAGTCTAGTTTACTCATATCAAATTTGAACTAACAATTCAATCGGGAAGGCATTCAAATGAATTCATGAAGATAACTGCGCTTTTAACGACACAGTTATCTTCAAGAATTCATTTGAATGCCTTCCCGATAAAAGTTTTAGTTCAAATTTGATATGAGTAAAACTAGACTTAATGAATAAGATTCTCAAAAATTTTCATAAAAAAATTCTACCGGGAACCACCCCAAATGGCGTCGGCCGGACAGAGCATCCTAAATATGGCCTTATTTGACATTTTTTTCAAGTTCGAGACCCTATCTGACCCTTATATGTATATATAATAATCATAATATAAAAATAACATCATTTAAACAAATCACATTATTTACAAAATGATTAAGGACCATGTAAATTAATAATTGAGCTTTATTTTCAATACATCTCCAACAATAGGGCGACGGAAAATCTCAACCCTAGAAAGAGGGGAAAGGCCGCTAGTTTTTTTTTTATTATTATAGGGGGTGTTTGGCAATCAGCGAATGGTTGTTACCTGTTGGCATATTGTGTTGGTTGTTGGTCATTGGCGGATTCTGTTGGCTATTTTGATTAACAGGTAGTATTAGCTGTTTATAGAATGATGTTTGGTCTAATGGTTGTTATAATCCGCTGATAACTTGTTAAATGACTTTTAAAGATATCAATTAATTTTTTCTTACCAACTACTATTTTTATGTAGTACATTTTATTAACGTTATTACTTTTTAATACAATTACTTAAGTACATCATTTTTGTTTAATAATAAAAATTATTATGAGTAAAAAAATTAAACATTGTTTTCTTGTATTATTAAATTTAATTAATTATTATGATTATATCTTAAATGGAGTAGTAACTAGTAAGTAATGCTATACTAAGAAAAGTTGTTTAAAGAATTTAAAATTCAGAAGGTAAAAACGTAAGAGTTGAAGTGGTCTATTATTTGTTTGTTCTGACAATATGTCACATGCATTGGCGAAATAGTGGACAACATTTCCATTTACAGTGAAGTTAGAGTTGCTAGTGCGGCTAATGGCCTTCGTGGAATATGAAGACGATGGTTTCCGGAAGATGTCAAAGTAAGAATACAAGTGACGAGTGGAAGAGAAGCGGGGACTACGGGTATAATAGGAAAATCCCTTAGATATGTGAACGGCCAAACACAAAACGATAGGTTCACCGACGTTTTAATTTTTAGCTGTTTGGGATGAAAAGTCAAATTAAAAAGCCACTAACCAAACACCCCTATTGCTGATTAATCTGGTCAAAAAGTTAAATATCAGTCAAATCAGCCAAAAAATAGCTGATAGGCTCCTAACCAAACACCCACATAGTGTTATTTTAAAAAGCTTTTCTTCTAATATTTACGTTGCCATTTCTTCTTAGGACAATTATTATTAAACCCTAGGTTCGGTATAAATAACTAATTCAACTTTGCACTATTTACCACTTGGATTTTGATTATTCACCATATTTACTGTTTAATTTTAGCCAACTTTTTTCATAATTAGCTTCACATATTGTTAAATTAATCACATGAATGTTTTCTAAAATATACTCTCTATGTTTTTATGAGTCAAAAATAATCCATCATCATGATTATAACCATATTTGTTTCTTGATATTTCTTCTTGTTACATACCGTTGAAATGTCATTGAGACTAATTAAGTTGGATAAACTATTTATACAAATTGATATTCGTGATGAAAAAGTGCTTAAAATTTTAATAGCACTGGTTTTAAATAACATTCTTTAATGTCATTGAGACTAATTAAGTTGGATAAACTATTTATACAAATTGATATTCGTGATGAAAAAGTGCTTAAAATTTTAATAGCACTGGTTTTAAATAACATTCTTTAATGTCATTGAGACTAATTAAGTTGGATAAACTATTTATACAAATTGATATTCGTGATGAAAAAGCTTAAAATTTTAATAGCACTGGTTTTAAATAACATTCTTTAATATATTTCATGAGTATTACTCGTAAATTTCCTCTGCACTCATTAGTATTTATTCTACGACTATCTAGGTAGACATAAAACCAATCAACAACTATGACTTATAAGTTATAACTATCATGAATTGTTTTTACATTTAAAAGTAGATTTTGTTGACCATTTTCATTCAATTTGATAGACATCTATGAGGATGTTTTCTTTCGGACTGTTTTCAGTCCCAGACCAGACTTCCGTAGTTATAAAATACACAAAGACCAGACATTTATCAGACCAGATCACACCAGCAAATTTCAGTCCAAAAGAAAACATCCTCAAATTTAATTTAACCAATATTAAAATGATGGGGCAACCCATGAGCAGAGCAAAGCTCTGTGAGTAATTGATTGATTTTTGAAAAAACAATCAATTGTAGGTCTCGTAACATTGTTTGTTAAGGATAACGGCCATTTTTTCGGATTATTGTGCAAAGAAAAATAGACTAATAAATTAAATCTTTTGATTATTGTGTTTCACTTAAACACGTCGCTTCGTGTCGGATTTCGGCCCTCTAGAAAAACTAAAGCACCCCTTTGCCTAGACACGTCTCTTCTCTTAATAAGGAAAAAATATAGGCAGCCCACAAATTAATTAATTAATACTGTATAATTTTTCGAAATGTTTAAGACTTTATACGTACTACTAGATTTGATTATAATTTCCTCACATTAATTACTGGAAAAAAATGTAGAGCAGCAGCATTTACATGGAAATTTTTCAAGTGAATCTTGAGGTTTTTGTCATTTAACCATTAAATTTATATTCTTGCCTTTCAATATAATTGATTAATAATTAATAATGGCAATACCATAATACTTCGTAGTATGGAGGGATTTAATGAATACAGATTCACATCCATTTATAGTACCTCATAAAATCTCCCCATTAAAAGAAACACTAATTAAAACAGAACCTTGTTACTGAATTTACACGTGGAAACTAATCATAATGATTTATTTATAGATAATTAATTCAGCATCCCACATTATTAATTAATTTATCTAATAAAGCCTCCTCTCCATCAATATTAACCCCCACACGCTCACAAAGATTAGAGAGCGAAGGAGACTTGAGATAATGGATGGTCACCATAACAATGATTGGGATCTTTTTGCAGTGGTAAGAAGTTGCAGAAACAACAATGGCAATTCTAGTAGTAGTAGCAATAGCAATGCTCAAGATGGTAATGCTCATCACTGCTTCATCAATGGTGAACAACTCTCGAATGCCGAAACCCGTCATGGCGAATTCCCCAATTTACTTCCCGAAAGGCGTTACTTTGGCTTAGACGAAGTTCTTGACCGCTTCATTAACAGAAAGCAGCAAGAAGAAGAAATGACTCCTCAAATTGATAACAAGGATGAAAGTCCTCAAATTACTATGGTGTCCCCGACCCTGACCCCGAAAGTTCAGCATGGAAAAAGCGGGTCTGCAAAGGAGGTCACAGTGGTTGAGGTGGCGGTGGAGAAAGTGGAGGAATGGGATGGATGGTTGTGGCGCAAGTACGGGAAGAAGAAGGTGTGCGACTCGCCACATACAAAGAGCTATTACAGATGTAGCTTTGAGGGGCACAAGTGCCCCGCAAAGAAACACATTCAGCAAAGTCAAAGGGACGAAAATAAGTTTATCGTTACATATAGAGGTCAGCATAACCACTTTCCTCCAGTTCCTAGCAACACAACCAAACGTCGGAAAAGGAACAACGCTCCTCCTGCCTCTCCCTGAGAAACTCAAATGTGTAATATTACCATATGTTTGTCTTAGAAAATGTTTCATATCTAAGTTTATTTTCTTGAAATAGAAGAAATCTTTCCTTTATATTTCCATGAATGGATTAATTCTTAGGCTCTCTACTTTTTTATCAGTTCCACACTTGCGCCTTTCTTTTTCAAGGAGTTCGGAAGATAGTAGACGGTTGAAAATGTGAAAAAAATGTATAATAAAAAAAGATGAAAAGAAAAAAACTAAGAGAGAACAAAAAAGTAGAAAAAAAGATGAACAAGAAAGAGGAGATGAAAAAGAAGTTTAAAACTTGCCAGAAATGGAACAGGACAGGTATCAAAAAACATTCCTAAAATGAATAAGGAGTAAATAATTCACCACAGGTTAGACTGGAAAATAGAAAACTGTAAAAGAAGGTTACTTGGGCCATAATGCCCACGGCCAAAATACACTAAAAGATTGAAACCAACTCATTAGCTAGTTTAATCCTTTCCTTTTAAACACGTATGTCTGTATGCTGTATCTAATAGAGGCTCTTAACTGTCTCCAGTTCCTCATAATGCATAACACAAACATACATAGTACTCCATATAAATTAAAGATGAAATATCAAGAAGGATTGTAGCCAGGGTTTTAAATAGCGGCCCGCTACCGCTATAGCAGCCGCTATATAGCGGTCGCGGTAGGGGCCGCTACCGCTACGGCCCGCTATTCCGCTGTGATTTCCAAATCACGGGAAAAATCCGCTACGCCGCCCGCTACAGCCCGCTATAGCCCGCTATTGACATTTCCGGCAGTACGTCACGCACGGGTTGATGTGTAAATGTGTCTATGTTGTGTAAATGAACTCTTAATGTTATAAATGTTCAAACAAATATTCACAATGTTTGTATTAACTTCAACACTCATTAAATATATGTTTTGCGCAATTGAAAATATTTCACGCCGCTGCAATCGCTACAGTCGGCTACAGGCCGCTACAGGCCGCTACCGCGATGACCGCTACCGCTATCGCTACCGCTGCTGCTACGGCTATTTAAAACCTTGATTGTAGCTATTCACAAGGGATAATAGATAAATTAAAAAGAAAAAAGACATATTCACAAAGGTATATCTCACAATTTTTTGAGTTGCACTGTAAAGAAGATGATGATATGATGTAGAATCATAGACTTACATATTTACATTGTGAAAGGTGTGAAGGAATGTGGGGGGACTGGTTTGGCTACCAATCCTCCTTGGCAATTTTTGACTTCTCAAGAATGAACTTCCCTTCCTTGTACTTTTGTGATGCTTCGAATGCTCGTTCATACTTCCAACCTAACAACTCATTACACTCGCCGCAAAAAACATCGGCAACAGTGTGAACACCGGTCATAAGATGTCTGTCTTCTTTGGTGCCGACAACTATATTCATCACATGAGAGAATAGAAAGGCTCTTCCATTCCTTCCCTGAAAATTTTCAAGAAATTAAACTATACCCAAATCGCAACTTCTGACTTAGCAACAACAATGCCTCTCAAGTTTCGGTGCCTATGCAATATTGCATACTTCCTTTGTTCTATTTTGGTTGCTAAACTTTCACATTCATATCTCTCAACACATAACTTTGACAAATATAAACTTTAATAAACTTAACTACCTATTATTTTAAAGGGATAAAATCCCATTTTAAAGAAATCACCCACAGGCCACAGACATACATCTAACCACTATCAGCAGGGCAGGGGTTTTCTTGGCAGGGGAGGGGTGAAACTTACCTGGACTGGCAATGGACCCACCCAAGTTTTTCATGTGTAAAACTTTGCTGTACAAATTTACGTGAATGAAAATGTTTTATGGGTGTTCTTGTGCCCTATAGGCAGATTTTGTCACCAGTTAAGAAAGACGAATTAATTTACAGAATTCAGAGTAAAATCTTCATTCACCATTTATGCAGCTTGTCCTGGCCTTTAGAGTATTAACACAGCTTCACTTAGGGCTAATTCTATCAAGTTACCTAATTAAGAAGTTCAAATTTTTTTCACAGGACAGGTTTGAAAAGAAAATTGACCATAAAAATTGATGAAAATTTGTTTAATTTAATTAAGGAAAAATTGAAAATAATAATCCAAACTATTGCCGATCCGCTGAAAATAATCCCAACTATTGATTATTTTTGTATAATCCCAACTATATAGACTATCCGCCAATAATGGTCCATGACCATATATTACCTCTATAAAAAGTGAATTTTAAATAGAAATTAAGCGTAAAAATTAAAAGTTGAGATTATTTATAGGGATTACTTGTTATATCTCATCTCATCTACTTTAGAAACTACAAGAATTTATTCATAGGGACCATTATTGGCGGAAGGTCCCTAAAGTTGGGATTATTCTGTAATAATCAATAGTTGGGATTATTATGAGCGGACCGTCAATAGTTGGGATTATTACTATCAATTTTTACTATCAATGTTTAATTTAATTAATTAAACAGGTTCAAAACTTTTATTAAATTCACCAAATTTGAGTCTATTTCAATGATTTTTTCATGGGCATAGGGTTCTCTGTGGTATGATAAACCTAATACACTTATCCACAGAGATTATAATCTATATTCTTCAGTCAGTCAAAAACCAAGGGAGTTCTGAAAGATCAACAACAAACTTGATATTCCTATATAATAAATCATGAAAAGCCTAACAAATAGAAAGCAGAAAGGATGACATAAATCCATTTACTCGCCTGAAAAGCCTTGGATACTATGTCATCATGAGCAGAGACATGATTTCTGCATTTATAGCAACAGTATAAACGCGGCCCAACGAAATCATCCATGGTAAGAGAACTCCAGGAAGACATAATTAGCACCTCACAGTCCTCTCTCACTCTACTCACGGCCAAATCAATAAAATTTCAGTATAAAGTACAAGAAATACTCATAAAGATGGAAACTTTAGACAATATTACTACTGTAAAACAATATTTATCAATAATCATCAAGATCATAGATCAAAAGCACGGATTAATACATGTTTAAGCTCAAGGGAGAAAGAGAAGGAACCTGGAACCCTTTAAGTTGAAAAATCATGAAACGGTTATGGATGGATGACCCATAACACACTGCAATGAAGGATATATGAGGGAAGCTTGCGTGTAGCTGATTGTGGATTGAAAAAGACTTGTTTTTTTTTTCTGTAAGAAAACCGATAATGAAAGCGAAATGGGAAACGATAAAAGTCATAAAACCAGGAAGTAATTGGTAATAGTGAATAAGTGAAAGTGAAAATGGTTTTGTGTACTGTGTAGTGTAGACGTGACGGGGAAGCAGGCTTGTAGAATACAATAGCAACCTTAGAATTACCAGAAGATTGGGGGAATATAAAATGCGGTACTTGATTTACTTTATAAATCCAGCCGCTACATTATTATCCAAAACAAACAAAAAACAGAAGGTGAAACCCAGGCTGAGGGCAACGACGAAAATTCTCGATGTTGATTGATATAGGGTTTGAATTATCTACTTTAATGTGAGAAAAAAATATAGGGATGTATGAAAATTCTATTTGTATAGAATAAGTATGCTTTTAGTTGGACTAAAATTTTTTGTCTAGTCTAATAGATATATGATTTTTGTACATTTTATAAATGTCTCAGTCTGATCTGGTATAATTGATCTGCTCTTATCTAATTTGATTTAGGAATGAAAACCGTCCAATTAAAAACATCTCAAGGCTAAGAGTATAACTAAGGGATGTTTTAACATGAAAACTATTTCTAACCTAACTAAAAGGAAAGTATTGTTGTAATGAAATCATACTATGCATGTTATCTGGTATTAAAAACTTGATAGTGTTGAGGGATCTGGCTCCTTTGCCTTGCTATAGCATGCTGGGAGGGTGTCTGGCCATTGTAAGCCTTTAGATCAGAAAATCTATGGCATAGGATGAGTGTGTCCATTTTTGCACCAATCTCAAGACCCTAAATTTTAATCTTGACCCTTCGATTGAGTAAGGCACTCTTTCATAAGGCAGAGGATCCCAATTCCCAATCCAATGTAACGAAACATAAACTGTTCAGTGAAATCAACATGCCTTTACAAATGCATAGATGATTTTTTCTAAAACTACAAGTGTTTTATTGCTTCATTTCTCAAAATAGTAATTATGTATATACGGATGTTTTAACTTGGACTGGAATTTTCTAGTTTGATCTGGTAAATTTCTGGTCTCTTTCTATTTTATAATTGTTTAAGTCTAGTCTAGTCTGACTGAACACCTCCGTTCCTAGATGAGTCATGCTTGTTGTACACATATTTTGTACAGCTTTTCTATACACCTCCCCTAATTGTCTATCTACAATTATTTGTGTAGACAAATAATTAGGAATGTACACAAAATGTGTGCGATACAGATGTACCGATAGCATTTGTGTCATAGAAATATAGAATCGCTCTTGAATGGACCAATTATTCCTACAACACAAATTCTGATTCTGGTTTAATCAAGAAAAAAATGTATTTCCCTGGGCTCCATATACTCTCTCCTTGAAGAGTATGTACGGAGTATGAGTACAACACAAGATCCTATTGCTACTTCAACCATATTCATTCATTAAAAGCGAACAGCTGCTGTTAATTACAGCATTTTCTTGAGATGATAAAGAGCCACAACATATATTTCCAGCTGTGCTGATGGTAATAATAAAGAATGATAGCTAGCATGTTCACTAGACACTTATTAATACATCATCATCTATATATGGTTGTAACCAAAAGGAAGGACACAAATTATCTGTTTATAACAAGTGTCTCCATTAGAAACTTGTGTGACTCAAGATAAGGAAATTTAGGAATGCAAAGAATTACAAAACCAAACACCTAAGTGGGAATCATTCATTCAGATTTCAAATCAACTAAGGTACAGATTTGGCCTATACTGTTTTTTCCTTAACATCTTTGTATCAAGGAGCATTGAGTGGATCAGACTCGGTATCCAACATCAGTGTCCAGTTTTCTGCCTCTGCAATTTCGTACCATCAAACAGTTAGAATTTGAGATGCAATTTACTAAAAGAAAAACGTCATGCAAAACCAAGGGTCTGTTTGGAACCAGAAAATGCAAAAGAACGAACTAAGGAGGGTGTAGGGTGAAGTTTTACGTAAAGAAATATTACAGTTAAATTAGAGCATGTTATAACTCATTATTTTTTTCGTATCATCTAAAGCTCATTTTGCTTATTTACAACTATTATATGAAGAATATGAACTCCCAACATATGTAAAGGAAATAAAAACGTTGAACACATTTCTTTTTCCTTGCATTTTCAGAGGTAAAACCAAACACATGAAATAACTTGGCTCTTTTTTCCTTTCCCTAGTTTCTTGAATTCAAACAAACCCTCTTGATATTCTTTTTATTTATCAAGTCCATTGTATGATTAAAGTAAAAACAATTGACAAAATGTGACTTGCATGAAAAAACACCTTAAAAGAATTTCATATGGTGACCATATTTTATTTTCCTTTGCATCTCTCATGGTAAAACCTAACATAAAATACTAGTTTTCCTTGGCATGTTTTTCCTTTCATTTGCATTTTGTGGGATCCAAACATACCCTGAATTCTTTACAAAGGTTGACAATTGGGGATATGAATCAACTAAAATGCTACTGTACAACCCACTTACTTGGCTTTTCTGTAATAGCTCTTAGACGCCTCTGCAAGATGGCGGCCACAAACAGAAAGATTGAGCACATGCCAAACATAACACTGATGGGGAATGCAGCAACCTGAGCATAAACACATGTTTAAACATAACTCATGTTGTCTTCAAATGACATGCCAAAATAAAGTCAACAAACTAATAAAAGAAAGAGATATCATAACAACATACATTGTACAGCACTATGCAAACAAAGAGGTTTAGAGGAATCCTGAAAAAGTTCATTATGGTACTTCTCGACTCCTCTGGAATGTATTGAGATCTCATCTTCATTATGGATGGCCAGAAGATACCCACACAAGCCTCAAACGTACAAAATCCAAAAACAAGGATACACCCTGTAAATGATATCCCTCCCTCTTTCACACTTGAAGGAGTTATCAAAAACTGTTTCAAAGAACTACAAAGTTAGAAGATGTAAGTAGAACAGTTAAAACCAATTTGGTCTCTGGTTAGACACTACTACTCAATTTTGTCCTCATCTTTTCATCGAACTTGATTTGGGTCCTTGAGTGTGAAATTTGGACCCAATTGAATCCCCATTCATACTTAGTTCTAAATAAGAATGGTATTTTTGTCCATTTACTAAATTTAGACCCAATTGAGAACTCAATTTGGATCCAATTTAGTCCAGACTCAAGAACATACTTAAATACCATTTTACTTAGGGTGAAATGTGTTCACCTCATTGGAATTTCATAGTCAAGGACCAAATGAGTACAAAAATGTTGAAGTAATAGTATTCAGTTGAGGGACTAAACTGGTGTTTTAGCTCTAAATAAAAGGAAGAAGCTTGAAAACTAGATAGTTTTGAGAAACATACATTTGTCACAATTGGTAACATGAGAGCCGCGGAAGAAATAACAAACACCACTTGCATGTAACTCTCAACCTTAATTGTGTTACGGGTCAAGAGGCGAGATGCAACTGAGCTTCCCAACATTGATGCCAGCATAAAAGTTGCAAAGATAAATCCATGGGGAATGTCTTCGTCGTTTGGACTAAGAGCAGGAGTCCAGAGAAACACAAAGGTGTACATTGAACCCTCAAACAGGGACTGTATTGCGCCCAGCAATGCAATCTTCTCATCTGATAGATATTAAAGATAGAGTTAGTACTCCATTTAATCCCCTAACTACATACACTATCGCACAATTTGGTCATAAACTTTTTCTGGACTCAGTTTCATCAATGTCTCCTTGGCAATGCAATTTAGACTCAATTTCATCCTGATGCATATTTCACTCTGATTATGAAGCTAATAGGGTACGATTTACATGGTTGACAACCAAGCTGAATCCAATATTGAGTCAAAATTAATTCATCCAGGACCAAGTTGGGTTCTCAGAAATTCGATGACAAGGTTGAGAACGTGTCAAAATGTCAAGTGACTAAACCGGGTATTAATTCTTAGTATAGAGCCATGTCTAATGTTACAAACCAAATCATAAAGATATGAAATGAAAAAAAGGATGGAAAAATATGTATGTGGGTTAAACAATCCCTAGCCAGCCTACCTGAAGCAATTGCAATAGAAGCATTCTTGAACTGAGTCATTAAATCTTTGTTATCTGATGGATCTCCGTAGTTCTCACTCCATGATGATAATATGATGGCCATCCCAAGGGAAAGAAAACATGAAGCAGCATCAAAGGGTGACACTGGTCCAAGATTTAACGTATCAACCAGAAAATTCCCAAATAATCCTGACAGGATGGCAATAAGACCATTTCCAAGAAATATTGCCTTAGAGAATGTGATTGAAAGCCACTGCTGATCGAATCCTCTCTGTACACAGTAAAAACAAAAACATGTTAGTCAAAAACTAGAAAATTAGCTCTCAAGATCAATATTTCATATCAAATTCTGGTTAATGTTCTGAATCAACAGAAAATACGTAGTTACAGAAGTTGTTAGTATACGACCAGTCGATGATCATCTGCATGTTCATAAGTTACTCTGGAAGAAGATTACTTCAGAGGGGAAGCAGTTGTCAAGAAGACATATTTAAGCAAATAAAATAAATACTACGTAATAAGGTAGCATAAGATGACATTCCCTCAGTGGAAAAAAAAAACTCTTTGAAAACTTGATTTTGTCCAAAAAAAAGGGTTATATTTAGTGAAATCAACATATACATTTGAAAGGTATGGCTAGATTTGATGATTCTGAATATTTGTGCTTTACTAAACATAGAAAGATGTACCCTGGTGAAACATGAACTTTTTTATATAGACGAAGGTAGTACTAGATAGCAAATTTAAAACCTAAGCGTTTAAATGAGTAAACTTCTATTTTTAAAAAAACAGTTTCTTCTTATTACTACCGCAAGTAAGAGTTCAATGGTATAGAGTAACTTAAATGCATTTGAGGTGTACATCATAGTAGTTATGCTATTGTAACAAGTTACAAGATATTAGATGCTAGATACACAAGAAAGTTCATACAACTTAGTCGAGATCACTTCATGAGTTCATCAGTTCATGATGCCAATAATGTATGAACATATAACTTCATCACGACTTATCTTCATTTCATCAGATGTAATATCCAAGGAACCTCACCTTAAAATGCTCAGCTACTAGCCAAGACTCAAATGATGAGAAGAGGAGAGATGTGGCAATACCACCTAAGATACGCCCCAACATCAACACTTTGTAATGAGGGGAATGCTTCGTGATGCAGCTGAGTATGTAAGTAATGCAATAAGTGACACAAGCTCTCTTTCGACCCCTGACAAGAATGACACAAGCATTTAGTGTAAATCCATCGCAAATAAGAGTGAATACTTATCTATGTGTGCATATGTATACGCTGTAAATTCACTCTCACTGTTTGTCTGCTAGAGATCCAACTATTGTGCCAAACAACATGGAAGACCCAAAACCAGCAATAAAGAGCTGCCCAATTTCTCCCTTTCCATATCCATATGTAGTGTATAGGTAGTATACATATGGACCCTGTAACCAATCACCAGCTGTTGCCAAAAAAATGAGCAAGCGCATCAGACATGGGAAGGTTATATTTCATTTATATCATAAAAAGCTGCTCATTAAAGATAATCAAAAGTGAGCACAAGATCCAATAGAATACAGTTGAAGAGCATGCGATAGCACAACCAATAGAGAAAGTTTTAATTCTTATCCTCTCCCGTTTCCTAAAGGAGGGTTACTAAAGCAAACTGATCGACATTCTCTATCATTAAAAATTTTACTTGCTCCGCGCCTTAATACATCCAAAAACTCCAGAATGAGCTAGCAAGTTTGACTTCACAGGAAACGGTAAATTACACCCAACACCAGCCCCAAATTCCATCACTACTACAGATCGGATCATGCATGAATACATAAATACAAGTGAATCCTACAAATTCCACAGAAAAGCCGCGATTCTGGGAACGTGCAGTGATCCGGGGAGCCAGATCTAAGGGCGAAACAATGTAAAGCGGACGAAACATACCCATCATCAGGGAGTAAACAACGAGGTAATTGTTTTTGAAAGCATTGAAGGTCTGAGACGTTGTGATGCGATCCTTGCTGGTCTTACTCAGCTCCAGAGCTGCCACCACCGCGGCCAAGCCGCCAAACACAACGTAGTAGAACAGCTCCATTTTCGTCCACACTCAAATTCTCGGATAAATGCAGTCACTGCAGCATCAGGCTTGCATTGATTGATCGCGTTCCGATCTCATGGTAGACAAATCTGGAGGATCTATATATATATACTCCGTGAAATGGGTATATACGGGTAGAACGAGCCGCGGTTTGATGCTGCGTTCAAACCAGTGAGTGGCTTCTGATTGGATCCAATCTGGGCCTTTGCTTTTTGCAACACGAACACGTGGCGGACACGAGTTGCTTGATGAACGTCGGTGGTAGTGTGTTGATTTACTGATTTACTAGAATTACTACTAACACAGTCGCGCTCGCTGTCATTCCTTTATGCATGATGTATCTTGAAATAAAGAAAAAACTTAAATACCCTCTCCGTTCCATTTTACTTGTCCTACTTTTTTTTTCGAGTTGTTCCAAAATAAGTGTCTTTTTTCTTTTTTGGAAAGAAATATGTGGTCTACATCATTTCACTTTAATATACTCAAACCTCAACCACAACTTTTACTTTTTCAACCACTTCATTAATAATCGAGCCAAGTCAAATTAAGACACATAAAATAGGACGGAGGTAGTAACAAATACCCCTCCGTCCCAAAATGATAGTCCTGGATTTCCTTTTTGAGATGTCCCAAAATGATGGTCTTGTTTTCCTTTTTTTATGAAGAACTAAAAGTGGATTACCATTTATATTCCTCCTTTATAATGAACAGTAAAAGTAAAAGGATGAACAGTATAATAAAGTAATGTTCTTTAATCTTTCTACCACACTTTCTTAATCTTTGTGCCCAAAAGAAACAAGACTCTCATTTTAGGACGGAGGTAGTATGATACGGAGTAGTAGTTAAAATGATCAGAACATTATTAATATTTGAATGTCTTCTCAATTGAATTTTAAGTTAAAATTTGGTGTGAGTGTGTGTAAAGTAGACTTAATGAAGAACATGTTCAAAAAAAATTATCAAAAAATTCCACTAGGAAGATCCTCAAATGGTATCGCCCTGATGGTATTGGTGACTGGGTTGGTCCGGGGAATCAATAAAACACACATAATATTTAAATCCTAAGTTGGAAAGGGCAGGAGATCGACTGTCGCACATCAGAATATATTAAATGTAAAGAGCAAGAGAATTATGATTAGCATCTGAGAGAGAACCCCCAGAATCAATCTTTGTTCCCTTCGTCATTAATTAGAGAGAACTCCCTAGTTTAATCATTTTATTCGGATTAGTTTTATTTTCCAAACCAATCAATCTCGCACGACACATTTTTATTTATTTATTTTTAATTGCTGAATTTAGTTAATCTTTGATTCCCTTTTGTCCGTCCCTGTGGAGACGATACTCGTACATACACCACTATATTACAATCTATTTTAAGTGCGAGAAAACTCACATCAGTTCGGTTTGAAGTTCGGTTTACCAAAGTAAAAAATATTATATTTAATTTAGTTTGATTTGACTCGTTTGCTTATGATTATTATTGTATTTGATCAAGTTCTATCTTTTAGAATTAGAAAATGAAAGTAATAGTCCATCTCATCTTTTATTAATGGGAGAAATAATTCAAATGCCCCAAACTTTGAAGGGGTGTGAGGTAAGCACCCCGAACTTGCACATGTAATTTAAATACCCCAAACTTTATATAAAAAGTTACTTTTGCACCATGATCATGTATTATTTCTTTCAAAAAAGTTAGTTTTTTGTGTTAATTTCATAATTTTAAATATTTTTGCATTCATGAAGATACAATTAACATTCTAAACTTCCGTTGTAAAATAAATAGTATTACCCCCACCCCCACTCTGTATAACTGCAATGTTTTCAATTTGTTGTTTTAAATTATGCAACTAACACCATTAATTTACATTTTTAAAATAATTTATACATGAGCATGGTTTTAAAATAACTTTTAATAAAAAGTTTGGGATATTTAAATTACAGTACACTTGAAAGTTTGAGGTGATTATCTCACGCCCCTTCAAAGTTTGGGGTATTTTAATTATATCCCCTTTATTAATTTATTGATTATTTAAATAAAATGTAAAAGGAAATACAAGATAGAAAAATAAATAATAAAATATTATAAATTGAAACTTCTAACATCTTTTTTATCACTACAAAAAAATCACTTCTTACAAAAAATAAAATAGTTGATTAGCATTTATAATATCACATAAAATATTTAAAAAAAAAACTAAAAGAGTCGGTGATACAAATGTTGTAATTTTCACAATTTTATTCAAATGAATCATGTAAAAATATAAATGCAATTTGCTATTGTTATCGCCAAACATAATAAATACAAATATGTCGTATTAGCTAACTTTGTTATAATGAATGTATGAAATGTGTAAAAGTCAAGTTAAAATGATACGAGTATATGCTTAAATATGTATTTTCATGTCTAAATTATTTATTTATATCTTAAAAATGAAAACTGGAGATGAATACGAAGTATATACATACATACATACATACATACATACATACATACATACATACATACATACATACATACATACATACATACATACATACATACATACATACATACATACATACATACATGCATACATACATGCATGCATACATACATACATACATACATACATACATACATACATACATACATACATACATACATACATACATACATACATACATACATACATACCAAAGTACCAAACCATTTGGTTTGAGCAAATGTTTACCAAATGGTTTACTTAAGTAAACCCAAACCAAACCAAATCAAACCACCAATTTTAATAATATATGAAAGTTTTTTTGAGTTTCTTTAGTTCGGTTGGTTTTGTTCGGTTTTTATCGGTTTCGGTTTGGTTCGGTTTAATACGGTTTGGAAGAAATAGTACCAAACTCAAACCAAATTGCATACGGTCTTGTTTCGGTTCGGTTTGGTACGGTTCGGTTCGGTTAAACCAAACCGTTATGCCCACCCCTACAAAAGAGTGGACTGAAGTAATTCCTTATCGGTCACAGGGGAGTTACTTACAACAAGAGCATCAGCTAAACTTTTTTATTTCCCTCATGTAATTTTCCATAGTCTAATTTTCCTTCTTTTTAATGTGAGATAGCAAATGTTTAAGTTCCATAGATCGAGCCATACTTGCAGACATAAATCTAGTTTGCAATTGGTCCCAAATCCCAAAAGAATGTTTGACATCATGTACATCAATTAATACATCACAAGTAAGCGCAGCAAATAACCATGAACGAATTGTTTGATCAACACGTAACGAATGATAATCAGTATTAATGATTTGGCGATAATTAAAATCAACCGTGTGCATGGGAGGTACCTGGGTGGAACCATCCACAAATCCAAACAAACCTTGGGAAACTAGGAAGGATTCAAATTCAGTGCGCCACGTGAGATAGTCTTCCACCACCTCGAGCTTCGTGGTAACAATTTGAGTAACATTAGAGGCCGAAGATATAGATTGCGCAATTGCTGCCATATGCGGGCTGCAATAAGGTAGAATCACGCGGCCAAGAAATTCCAAGAGCTCGGGAAAAAGTGAACCCGAAGAAGTTGGAGACAGACATTAGTGGTGGCAATCCCATGGTCTCCGTCGATGGCTGTCCCTGCAGCTGCCCGTCGAAACAAGCGGGACTGCTATGACTGAAGTGGAGTCCATGGGGGAGAAGTAACAAGCGGCGGAGCGGTTGTGAAGACAATGCTGCATCGGCGAAGGATGAGACGACCGACGTTGTGCTGGAGACCATAGAGGCATCGGCACAGTGGTAGATAGGGAGGAGATTGCAGTGGCGGTTGTCTCTGCGTGCACATCGGCAGTGGTGCTGGCCGAAGTCATGAAGGTAGTAGGGTTGTTTGTCAGGAATATAGATTTCTGACATATATATTTATAATATAAAAGAGTTGAAAGAATTATTCTTAATTTAATATTAGGCTATTATTATCTTGAAATAAAAGAAAAAAAGTAAATAAAAATAACTAAAATGGAAGAATCAAACATTGCATCATGTTGGGCTTAATTGCAACTAACTAACGAGTGGTTCTGTAATTACGAAAGGTACAAAAAATATCACAAGTTGAAGTTTTTTTTGCAAAACTTCTCAACCTATTATAGTATATGTTCTACATTAATGTCAACAATCTTGAACTGAGACTGATTTGAATCTTCCTGGGAATGTCATCGGTGATTCCATCATATCACAATGATACATTTATATTATGGCATATAAATAGTCTATCGAAAGAGATGGATTGGTGTGGTTCCTCTACGCCTAGGACACCAGAATAGAGAACAATGAAGGAACAAAGGGATTGAGAGTTGTTCTACAAGATTACACTTTGCCTGGGAGTTTGGATACCACAAGGTACGAGTGCAGTTGGACTCGCAGGCAGCTATTAAACTTTTGATGTCAGAAGCTGAACTCACACACCGGCATTCTTCTGGGGTCGCACAGTTTCACGAGCTCTTAAATCGAAATCGGACGGTTATAATTGAGCATATTTACCGGGAGGGTAATCGGGCAGCAGACTTTTTAGCTAGCCTAGGCCATAGATTACCTATTGATGCTCATTTTATTTCTCATGTTGATTCTAGATTGGCATTACGAGGCCGCTTGACAATCATGATTTTCGGCTTATCAGCCAACTTTTTCACCAAACACGAAAATTTTGCTTTCGCACGCTGAATTGTGTAATAAACAGAAAAAGTGAGGTTGAAGTTACTTTTCCTGTTGGATTGGCTGAAGTTATTGTAGATGACCATTTTAGCTATTTTACATATAATTTTTTCTTTATTTTATTAATAAAATATATTTTAAAAATATTTTTTTCTTATATAAGCAGAATCAGCCAATGCAGCTACTTCAGTCAGAACTTCATAAATTTCACTAGTATAAGCTAAAACAGCCGATTTTCGTGTTACCAAACGGGCTCTACATATTTTGTATGACTTACTTGAAATTTCCCAACCTCATTTGATCATTAATGATAAGTCGGCGCTAATGCTCCTACGATTCTACCAAAAAAAGGGATGAGAGAAAAAGATACGAGCCGGTGGTTATGAGGACCCAATTAAACAACCAACAGCTATTGCGAAAGACCCCGTTATATTGATAAAGTGCTTGCTAGAGTACGGGTATGTTTGGCTCAACTAGCTGAAAATATACTTTTGTGAGCTTTTTAGTAATTGTTAGCTTTTAGTGACTGTTTGATTTAGTTGGTAAAAAGCTGACTGTTTGATTTAGTTCGGTTTGGTATACAAGCTGTTAGGACTAAATAATACTAACGGAAAAAATACTTTTGTGAGCTTTTTAGTAA